TTGGAACCAACAGTTCCTAATTTTTGCAAGTGGTAAGTTGTTCAAGGTTTCTTACAAATCGTGCTCCAGTAAGTTGCGGTAATGCTAAAGAAACTAATAATAAATGTAATCCAAGAATTCCAACACACATATTAAGTTGGTTTTCTAGTCATTTAGTCTGCTCAAGGATTTTCTCTTGACCAATGAGTAATTCGTCTGTTAAAAACTCCGTTATTTGTTACCGTTTCCTGATTTCCGGATTTTCATTATAGCTAACAATACGGTATTTTCTTTGTCTTCATTGCAGCGCTTATGTCTAGAAAAAACTGGTGCAATATACTGCTTAAGACTTTCAGTTAACCGTCCAAAAATTGTTGTACGGCGTTGTCATCTCTCTGGGTACATATGGAAATACATACCGCCCAGCTTCAACGGCATTACTCTCTGCATTACTACGACACAAGATAATATTTTAGCAAGTTCTTGGGTAAAAAACCAAGTTCCATTCTGTAACAAAAAAAAACAAAACAGCCGGCGAATGTGGCGCAGTTCAATGGAAGCTGGACTGCGGACGATGGGCCCCTGGTACGAATCCGGGTTTGGGCATGGATACATGTAAATGTATAGTGGGTTGGTTGGTAGAGCAGCCTTGGATGAAACCCCGCCCACTCAAAAAAGGCAAAAATAAAAAAATAAAAGCAACAAAAACAAAAACTACGTGTTTTTTTATTATTGAAAAACTTGTCAACGCCTGCTAGAACAAAATGTGAAACAAAATGTTAAAAATGTAGTAACAAGCCTTTTTTTCTGGCCTAAATAATAAGAATCATACAGTGCTGTATATCAATCTATTCGTAATAAAAAATGTTACTCAATACAGGTTGTACTTTATTTACGGGTCATATAAAAAACTACAGTTGATGAAGATTTCTCTGAAACGAAACATTGTATTGAAATTTTCTCAACGGTATCTGGTAGAGCTCAATGAGAAAGTGTCTTTTATTTTTTGTATCTTTTAAAATAATACCAGAAAAAAATAAATCGGCAAATTTCGGTTTTTATGGAATATCTTCGTAAGTAATCAGTATTTTCTGGTTTTCTTTAAATCATAATAACTGTTTAATTGCGTAACTCTTCCCTAATTTGGCCATCGTCGTATCTTCCATGGTTTCCGAGATAATAATAGACATCCTTATCTTAAACACGATGTATACAGGGTGGTTCAGACTACCCGCTCACCCGTTTTATAAAACTCAAGGACTACAACATTTTTTAACAAATAATCTTAGTAGTGTTGTTGTTCTCTATCGAATACCCCGAAAATTGGATCCCGCAACTTTGTCATTGTTGAAACAGAACAGTTGAAATATATTCGGTAAATCAAAGACAAAGATTTGAAATTTGGCATGCACATGTAACTTGATAGAGTTTTAAGTATAGTCATAAAAAAAGTAGAGTTGCCATTTAAAAAACAGTCGATGGCGTCATATTTGGGACACGCTGTATAAAATTGTATCATCAAAAAAGATCGCAGTTTAACCACGTGTCCGAACATATAAAAAAACTTCTTTGAATTATTGATATCATTCCAAAAGACGATGTAATTATAATAAAGCATGCAGGACTAGTAATTTTTATAGTTAAAATAAGTGGTAATAATAATGCAATTTCAATGTCAAAAATTAAGAAAATTATAGCAACTGTATTATTCGAGGTATTATTTTTCTGTAGGTATTGCAGTTGAGGGACATATTTCTCTCAATTGCGCCAAAAATTTACAAACATTATGGCGGATAATCAAGACAACGATCTACTAGACGACCCAGGTACTCTACGAGGTACTACTGTATTACTTGTATCTGATACGATCTGATATTTTTAAGAAATGATTTACCAATTCACTTATGAAAAACTCTCCTTTTATTCAAGATTTTTTGATTTTCTTATGCTGTACGCTCAAGTAGCTGCTAGCCCATAGCTGTGTTCATTGAGATCTTTTTATAATTTAATTTGAGGTTTACTTTTGCTAGATATATTATTTTTATATATTTTTATTTATTTTCTGTTAATGAATGGAATCACAAGGTTAAATGGAAGAGCAAAAATGGTATGTTTCATTCCAATACTGAACCTCGCCCTTTCTATACAGTTTCTATGTAATTAACCTAGGTACTTATTAAAGACATTTATTATTCTTATTATAGTTATATATGGATTTACCTACCCAATATTGTTTTCATCACACAAAAGTACGTTGTCGGGTTTGTTAGCGCGATAACTCATAATTTAATGGGACAAAAATTGGTACATCAATTAGATTTGCTCAATAAAAAACAAAGCGATGCATTAGAAGTAAATACAATAAAAGGAAAGCATTGGGCCTCAACAGATGCTACCATGCGGAAAAGTTTTGAAGAAACTCATTTTTTAAATTAAATTTTACTCAAAACAATGACTGAGAGGACAAATAAGGATAGAAGTGTATTGGATTCGATTATTTCATAATAAAATACAGCCCGAATTTTTCGATCCCAAACCAACAGTCGACATACCTACAATGCGAATTTCTGACTTAGAATATATTCAGTAGTAAATCAAAGAAAAAATACAACATTTGGCACACAGGTGTAACTTGGAATGCTCTAAGAATCGTTAGAAAAAGTGTCATTTAAAAAAAATAGTACAATGTCGTCATATTATGTGAAATTTGGGACACGCTGTATAAAATTGTATTACAACAAAAAGAGCGCAATTTAAAATACTAATTGGCGTGCCTGGGCATATTTCAAAAAAAGAAATTTCTTTGAATTACCGAATTTACAGAGTGGGTCAGCACTCGGCGGCTTAAAAAAGTTTAACAAATAGCCCAGGGATCTTACTAACATTTTTAGTTTCAAATGGGAACCCCTTGGCGAATCCATATCGGCCGTATACATTTTAACGTTCAATCAGCAATCGGAACCGAAATTCCGAATTGTAATTCGAAATTTTAAAATTTTGAGTAATCTGCAACGGTTTTACAGTTGTCTCACCCCCAAAAAAAGGGGTTTTATCAAAACACTTTTTTCTTATGCTCTAAAAAAGCTCTTAATTCCGAGAAGAACGGCTTTTGCAACGATGGTCCTACAATGCCATTTTTTGTGTGGCGTTTTTCAAAACTTCATACATAATTGTCCGAAAGGGCCCATTTTTGGTTTACAATGTGCCTACCTGCTATAAAAAAAAGTAACATTAGGCGTCATGTGTTGTTTTTTAGGTCAAACTTAAAATGTTAAAATGAAAATTGAATTCTCAACCAAGAGATATGGGGGAAAATCAAAAAATTGTAATTTCCAGAATCCTTAGTTAAAATTGATACAGAAGAAAATGTTCCTTTAAATTGATGAATATTCTGCCGTTGTCAAACACACCAAGGATAAGATTTTGTCATTTGAAAGTAGGCATAGAAACAAAATAATCCACGATCCCTATGTCTATTTCTTAATAAATCTCACTGTATATGTTATGTATTATATTTAAAAAAATTTTTGAATTTTATATAAATCTTTTTTTGAATCAATGTTCAATTTTTTTGGTGCTATTTTTTGAAAAAAGAATTTAATATGCTATCTTTTTAGATTAGAATTTACGTAGTTCCATTAAAAAAATTGAGATTAGGCCAGAAAACTTTTTTACCTGAAACCGTATACTTATTTTGAAACGGTAAATCATTTAACAATCATTATAAAGAAACTGTTGTAATAAACATCTCATTTTCAGTAAGAAAATGTAGGGTCCGATTCTGAAATTGACAATTTTTTTGATTTTCCCCTGTATCTCTTAAGCAAATTTTGAGTTCCACTTTACTGGTAGCTTATAGCGAGAATTTGGGGCGTTTTGCTAATTTTTATGATATTGCCAACATGTTTGGAGTTTTTGTGTTTTTCTTTGCTTATTTGGGGAAGGATGCCCCCCAAATTAAAGGGCAGACAAAAATGTGCTCGATCGTTAAGGTTCTGCCGGGGAAAACTTTCTGTTAATTTCAGTCTCGGATTAGAATTCACGTACTCTATTTGAAATTGAATGAATTCCGTTGGGAAAACGACAAAACCATATTGTCTTTATAGTTAGGAGCAAGATATTAAATACTTTCCTTCTTTCTCGTGATTAAGGACGAGATATTATGTATAGAGTTTTACCTAGGAATATTGGTGATATTTTTTTAAATTTAAAAAAAACAAATGATAGAATTTATTAAATATAGAATCTGGCATTGGATTAAGTTTTTAGCTTTTTTCCGATATTTCCCGATTTTTGAATAATAGCACCAAGCTGTGGTTTTTCAAATAAAAATATCTGTTTCATCTGAAAAAGGATAATTTGATGTAAAACTCGAGTGTAACTTATTTCTCGTGTTTTTCCGCTGTGAAATATTTTGCAAAAAGTAATTTGGCGATTTTTTAAATGGTCACGTTAACCATATTTCTACACATACCAAAGTTTATCCTTTTAGGGCATTGAAATTTGGAGCTATCGTCATTCGCACATTTCTTTTTGTTTTATTTTGGAAATATTTTATAGGGGTCGACCGATGGGGCGAAATCGCCCTACTTTACCAATATCGGGAAAAAAAATTTTTACAAATAAACAAAATGTCTAAAATGTTCCGCCGCCAACGTCTCAAAATTTGTGTTTCTATTTTTTCCTCAGGAACCATGACAGATGATGGAACTTGCGGTTTGTCCTGGGTTTTAGGATATGCCCGTTTCATTTCTTGTGATATTCAAAATGTCTACCGTAAGATGATGCACCCTTAAACAAGAGTGCGAAAAATATTCTGATCTCGACCAAATTTGGTATCTGGAGGATTTTCATCATGGAAACTACGAACCCAAAAATAAGTATTCGCAAACAAATTCCAACTAATGTTCTTGCGCGGGTCTCAAAAATGGTCAGAATTTCATGAAATTTGGTGGGCACAGTTAAATTGGAACTCCCCAAAAATACTAAGCTTTTAGTTTAACAATTTATGATCATCTTACCTTAGTTTTCGATGTTTTTGGGTGTCCTCCTAACACAATAGCGTGAACTTCAATTTCGTACATATCAATCCCGACTTCCCTGTCAAGTTCGGCAGCCGTCGAAAGGACGCCCAACTTTGTATCGATATCGAACAATCTGTCCACTTGAACTCCAGCACCGGTCACGTTAGTCACATAGTACTCGACGTCATCGGAACCGTACTTAGCCGAAACCGTTAAAATACTCGTACCCGGCGGTTCGTTTTCGTAAACACTTCCCGAGAAAGACGCACTGTCAAAGTTCGGACCTTTGAGAAATTCGCTTGTCGCGATGATCGTTATGTAGGCGTCCGCCGATTTGCGTTCGCTCTGAACGGCCTCGTCCGTCGCCTTTATGGCAAGTTGGTATCGAGGTTCGATGTTCGTTATGGGCTTTTTGAGCGTGAGTGCTCCCGTGCTGCGATGTATCTTGAAGAGTTCGCCGTTTCCGCTCACCAAATCATAGGTCACCAATCCATTGGTGCTCGAGTCGAGATCCCTGGCGAAGACGTTCATTACAAAAGTACCCGCTCTTCCGAAGCTCGCCTGGCTTTGATGAGGTGGAAGTACAGCCGAGTTCATCGACACGAACACGGGGGCGTTATCGTTAATATCTTCAACAATCACTGTCACTAATTTGTCCGCGGATAATCGACTGTTAACACTCTGAGCTTGATCGGTTGCGACAACGGTCAACTTGAACGTATCGATTGTTTCCCGATCGATCGGAAGTAACGTATGAATAACGCCGGTCGATGGATTTATACCAAAGTACCTTTTGACATCTTCCGGCTCTTGATGCGAAATCGAATACGTTACCTTTCCGTTCATACCCGAATCCGGATCCTCGGCGGTTACGGTAACAATGGGCGTCCGAACTGGAATGCCTTCTCTAATTTGCCTCACGATCGCCGTATTGGGAAAAGCGGGTGGATTGTCATTAGCATCCTCGACGCTAATCGAAAATAAAATAACCGTCGATAATCGCGGGTTACCATTATCCGAAGCCGTAATATTAAGTTGATACATCGTTAGCTCCTCGTAATCCAACGGTTTATGCAGAAACAGCGTACCTGTTAAAGGCTCGACGTGAAACGTATCTCGACGATTTCCTGCGCTGATCGAAAACACAACTTCGCTGTTCACCCCTAAATCGGCATCGGATGCTTTAAAGTGTATCAATTCCGTATTGATGGCCGTTGTTTCTATAACGGATATTTTCGATTCGGTCTGCGTGAATTCCGGCGCGTTATCATTTTCGTCCAGAACGTCGATGGAGACCGTCGTCGAGGAGCTTAGTCGCTTATCTAGGCCGGCGTCGTGCGCGATTACAGTTAGGCTGTACTTTGAGGTGGTTTCGCGGTCGAGGGACCGCGCTAGGAGAATCTGTCCGGTCGCTTCGTCTATGTCGAAACGGCCGTCCTCATTTCCGCTGGCGATCGAGTAAAATACGTCACCGTTCAAACCCTCGTCGGCGTCGGATGTGTACAGTCGAACAACTTGCGTTCCGATGCTGGCACCTTCGGAAATTTGCACCTTGTAAGGGGCGCGTAGAAATTTTGGGGGGTTGTCGTTGACGTCGGTTACGAAAACTTGAACCTTAACCTTGTCGCGCAAACGAGGGGTGCCGTTATCCATGACGGTGGCTTCGAGTATCATGAAGTTTTGGCCCGTAGTCTGTACGAGTTCCTCGCGGTCGAAGACGTGTAGGGCCTTGATGAAACCGTTCTTGGGGTCGACCGCGAAATCGCTTTGCAAGTTGGATAGGGAGAAGATTAATTCGGCGTTACGACCGATATCGCGGTCAGTCGCCGTTAGTTTTCCCACGAATGAGTCTGGGGGTTCGTTTTCGCGTATGCTGAACGTGAAGGTGGTGTTCGTAAATTCGGGTCTGTTGTCATTTTCGTCGATTACGTGGATTACGACGGGAACCATGGAGGATCTGGATGGTGTGCCGAAATCCCGAACCGTTAATACTAGGGAGTAGTAGTCTTTTACCTCTCGATCCAAGCTGCTTTGAACGTACAGGTAGCCATCGGGGAAAACGCCAAACTTTTCCTCGGCGTTGCCCTCGGTGATTGCGTAGGAGACCCTTCCATTTGCTCCGAGGTCTGCGTCGCTTGCGGCGAGCGCAAAAAATCGCTTGTTTACCGGCGTGGATTCGACGAGGGAGGTTTCGTACGAGGTGTGATCGAAAATTGGGGTGTGATCGTTTACGTCTTCCACGGTAACTAGCACGGTGTGCTTGGATGACAGCTGAGGCTCGCCTCCGTCAGTAGCTGTCACCTCGACGTTCAGCACGGTGCCCGGTTCGGCTCTAATGGGGCGATTCAGATAAATCACACCTGTAGCTTCTGATATTCTAAACTGCGCGTCGGGATTGTACGTCAAACTGTAGCTAATTCGGCTATTAATTCCCGCGTCGATATCCCTGGCGCGAGTTATGTACACCTCTTGTCCAGTTGCCGCGTTTTCCGGTAGCTTCACCTCGTCCTTGTCCCGAAGGAACGTCGGCCGATTGTCGTTCAAATCCAAAACGGCGATGTTTACCACGGTTTTACCGTAGGAGAGCCCGACGCGTGCCACCACCGTTAAACTATGCGACACGCTTTGTTCGCGATCAATTTTGTTCACGGTCGTAATTTTGCCACTAAATTCCTCAATCGCGAAATTATGCTTCGCATCCCCGTAAACAATCGAATAACTCACGTGCTCACTACTCCTAACACGCACTTTTCCCACTTCTCTTCCCAATGAAGACGTCCTCTCATTGTGATCTTCCACAATTTGAAATTCGTAAGCTCCGTAATTGTCGAATTCCAGTTCCTCCATGTAAGCGTCTTTTATCACCTCCACCACCGCGTCTTCGATCGCTCGCTTATCGCTGTGATCTTTCGCGGATATTTTCAAGCGATAAATCGGCTTCGGCGAATTTCGGAGGCTGCCTCGCAAAGTAATCACCCCCGTCCATTCGTCGATGGAAAACAGCCCTTCGCTCCCGCTTTCAATTTTGTAAGTAATCATCGCGTTTTCGCCCTCGTCTGGATCGGTCGCGAACAACTTCAGTATCGACGTTCCGATTTTGGTGTCTTCGGATATTGGAACGAAGTACTTCAGGGGGTAGAACTCGGGGTTGTTGTCGTTCACGTCGAGTATGTTAAGGGAGACGGTAGCCGTCGACGATTGCGATGGTATTCCGTGATCTTTGGCCACGACTTGTATTTCATATTTCGAAATCCTTTCCCGATCGAGTTTTGATTTGGTCGTAAGTTGCCCGGTGAGCGAATCTAACGTAAAGGTATCCGGATATAATTGCTGCACCGTGGAATGTAAAAAGTAGGTAACGCTACCGTTTGTACCTTGATCGTGATCGGCTGCGGTCAGCATCGCCACAAACGTGTGAGGTGGCGTACTTTCGGATAGGCTTACGTTAATGCTCGATTGCGAAAACTTGGGAGCCTCGTCGTTTTCGTCCAGGATTGTTACCTTCAGCTGGGTGTAGGCCCACTTCGGGTTAGGTCCGCCGTCGCGTGCTGAGATGTTGAGCTCGACGGTCCCTTGGATTTCCCGGTCGAGGGAGGCGCGCGTTGTTATCAATCCGGAATTGGAATTGATGGTGAACCAGTCGTGGTCGTTGCCCGAAACGAAGGCGTAGTAAATTTGTGCGTTTACGCCGGAATCTTCATCTGTTGCTGTGATACCTGCCACATATGTGCCCGACGGCGCCAGCTCACTCAAGATTGCAGAATATTCGCTCTTCTCAAATACAGGTTCATGGTCATTCACATCGTTTACGTGAATTATTAGAAAAGCGGTTGCTGTGCGAGGGGGTGAGCCCTTGTCCGTGGCGACCACCGTTAAATTGTACTTGCTAATCTCTTCCCGGTCGAGCACCCCGTTTACGCGCACCATGTCGAAGCTCGGGGTGTAATCTAATCTGAAGTGATTTAGCTCGTTTCCGGATATTATCCGCACGGTGGTTTCGCCGTTTAGCCCTTCGTCGACGTCGACAACCGAAACGACCGCCACCACCGAGCCGTTAATCGCGTTTTCGTCGACCGTTGTAAATTCCGCGTTTGAAGGAAAGTATTGGAAATGAATGACCGGGTCGTGATCGTTTGCGTCTACTAAATTAACGGTTACGTAAGTTCTGCCATCCTGCCTCGGCGACCCGTGATCTCGTGCGAACACTGTGAAAACGCAACTTTTCGGACAACCACCACCGGGTTTCGCGGTCTGCGGGCAGTTCTGTTGCGGACATTCTAACGGTTCCGTTGTTAAAATGACGCCCGTTTCTGGATCAACAGTAAACTGCCGTTCCGTGTCAGCGAGGTAGTACGTAATCTTCGCATTATCTCCCAGGTCGTTGTCGGTGGCCATCACTTGCAGTACCGGCGTACCAGGAGGTACGCTCTCATTCAGCGACACAATGTAATCGCTGTGATCAAAAATAGGCGGATTATCATTTACATCCAATATCGTTACGTTTACTTGCAAGTACCCGTGCTTTGGTGGATTACCGCCGTCTCGCGCTGAAATATTCAGCACGTAAAATCCGAAAGTCTCCCGATCTAATTTCCCGGTCGTCTCCAAGTGCAAGTAGGACGTTTCGCCCGTCGGATTCCCAGTGACGACCAACTTAAACTTGCTATCTTTATTGCCCGCGTTTATTTGGTAATCTTTGGAGACCCCGTTGATTCCCGAATCCCGATCCGTAGCCGCGTCGAGCAGCAGACGCGTACCGGCGGCCGCACTTTCGGAAAACGACACCCCGATCGACGCCTCGGGAAACTCGGGCGCATTATCGTTAACATCTAGCACAATAATCCGAACTTCAATGGGATAAGTGGGCTGACTTGATAACACGACCAAATCGTACCGATCATTTACAAGCGCCTCGCGATCTAAAACGGCATTAGTTTTAATTTCGCCCGAAACGGGATCTAACACAAATTCCTTTGGCGGTTCATTGAAACGATAGGTAAATCCCGGTTTGGTGGGTATTCGTCCTACAATTGTACCTTTGGATTGTCCTTCCGAAATTTGCAAGGTAATTCGGGTGTCGACCGCTCTGGATTGCATTTGCGTCGAATAATCGAATTTTTGCTCCGGCCGTTTTCTTCCCGGTCCCGGTCCCGGACCTTGCGCTCCCACGAGCAAAAGCGTTCCCGTAGCCACTAACCAGCACTTTAAACCCCACATAATTTAATTAAAAACAATTCACTATGGTCACGATGACATTTTTACCGCACGCACGCAAAGGTTCATCACTTAATCACCGATTGATATCACCACGCTCGGACATTGAGTTCCGCAATCACAACGACATTTCGGCTTCGTTTGTTAACAGTGCGACCGACACGTGTGTCTGTGTTAGATGCTGCAGTGCTCTAACATTCCATAGTCCCTTGCCCCGTCGAGAAAAGCCGTTCAGCCTCTGGAGAAGTGCGCGTTCTCCTTCACTCTCCTAGTAGGTAGGCTCGCCAGTTCTCGCTCGAGCTGGTATGCAATATGGCCGGTCGCAGACGAGATCAACAGGGATCCGCTCTCAGGCTTTCTGTCCAAAGCTAAAATCAAAACGAAACTTAATATACATACTGCCGCTGACCCGGGACCAATTAAAATTCTACGGATGACATTTGATTTCACACTGCAGTAATCCGCATTTGTCTTAGCTAGGTACCTCTTTAAAGGTCCACTCTTCTTTTAAGCGCGACTCGCCTCCACGACAACACAACGAAACACCTTCATTCAACATTCACAACAAATAAGCACATGTCGATTCACATGTGCAAATACTTCCGGATTCTACAAGAATATTTTCAAGCGAAGGATACTGATCCGCGCGCGAGACTCGACTGCCACTTACTTTGCTTTTACCTGGGGAGGAGTTGGACATCGTAGCCAATGATAACCAACCCATGTTGCCAGCTAACTCACCTGTATTTCAGATATTCGAACTAAACATAAACAATATTTATGACTATGTCAGATGGGCCAGGTTTAGCTCGTAAATCTACTGCGGGTTTTTTTTTGTATTCCTAAGATCGGAATCTAATGCTCTATCTCGGGTATAGAATAAATAAATTCGTGTTCCGATGGTATTTTTTGACTGTTTTACGTAAGTCAACTTACACTTCATAGAGTATCGCTTTACCGTTTATATTTGAAAGAATTTAAAAAAAATTTCAGGAAATTAAAACTTGTTTTTTTCCCCGAGAGATTATAACACCAGATCTTTGTATTCAGGTAAACTTTAAAGTTTTAAAAGAGTAACTGGTTTAGGGATTATGTTGGCGAGTTGAATGCCGCGTCAGGACACAAACCCTCAAATATTTGCTTGTAATTCTAATTAATTTTTTATTGTTTGACCTATTCTTCCTGGGCGCATATTACCTACACTTTCGTTTCTAG